AAGGCAGAGAATAACCCCATGCGGGAGATTAAAATCCAAAAGCTCTGCCTAAATATCTGCGTTGGTGAGAGCGGAGATCGTCTTACGCGCGCGGCCAAGGTCTTGGAGCAGCTGACCCAGCAGCAGCCTGTTTTTAGCAAAGCTAGGCTGACTGTACGTACATTCGGCATTCGCAGAAACGAAAAGATTGCCGTCCACTGTACTGTTCGCGGGGCGAAGGCTGAAGGTTTGTCTTTTTCTGTCCTTTATTAGCGTTAGAAATCCTTGAGCGTGGTCTGAAAGTGAAGGAATATGAATTGCCCAAATCCTGTTTCAGCAAGATGGGTCACTTTGGCTTTGGTATTACGGAACATATCGATTTGAACCTGAAGTATGACCCCGGCATCGGCATTTATGGTATGGATTTCTACGTCATCCTAGCCCGCGCAGGCCAGCGTGTGGCCCACAGGTTAGAATAACCAAGTTCTCTTACCATTGTTCATAGGAGAAGGTGCGCTTCTAAAGTCGGCCCCAAACACCACGTCACTAAGGAGGAAGCCATGAAGTGGTTCCAAACCAAATATGAAGGCATCCTGATGAACAAGTAGAGGAATAAATTTGTACCATGGCATTTGCATTTTTATTGCTTTATTACTATACTTATTTTCTACCTAGAAACCTAGTACGAGGGCCGCTGAGTTTACGATAGATGTAAGCCAGTTTATATATAAGGAATTCACGACTTTCTAGCTACGCGTTTTACGGGCATATGCAACATAATATCTATTAAGTTAATCTGCCCGGCTGCAGATGGCAGTTGCGGTCAAATTTTGCAACACTAGATCGTACTATTTTATCAAAAAGTAGCTTTTGCTTTTAGTGTAATTTTTATTGGTTGTAGAAAATTTCCCGTAGACCGCAGTTATCTACGTTAATCGCCGCCGCCACCGTGGGTTCACTACTCACCACTTTTATCCGTTTGCGGCTTAACGGTACTGAATTCGAGCGTTTATTCGTAGCTGTCATTATTCATGTCGGACAAATTGTACTTTACCCCTTGCAAGCTACCAATTCTCTCTGGTCTGACGTTCGTTTGTTAATCGATTGGAAATTTCTCGGTCATGTGAAGTTTTATATTAATGAGCAGGTATCTCACTCGTCGTACACAACTTAGTGGCTGTGTTGTTGATCTTCCCGAGCAGGAGTATTTTTCGACCCGATCACCACAGTCGCTCGTTTTGCACACTCAGGCTGGCAGATTACAGCTTAAATGTTCCAAGCCACAGAAAGTGCTCACTATCTTAGCTTTTGAGAATATACACATGATCGCCTTGTATACCTCAGTTCCATTGATGTAATGCTCATTCAAGTCATGAGATTACTTTATGTGGTTTTTAGGCCAGCCTTCCTTGTTGAGTGCGCTCATTGAACGATGTCTCGGAGTTCGACTGTTCTAGTGTGTATGGTATCCATCAACGACACCTAAACCTGCAAAATGTTGACCCTTTGCTCTACCTGATTGGGACATATTTCGATCGTCGCAGGTTCAGACGTAGATACCAGTGTTGCTGACCCTCGATTTTACGGCTTAATCAAGTTTTACAATCGTAGGTGCGGACGTTACTCCACTCATTAAGTCGGATTTTGTCTCCATAGTGATTCCATTTATCGCACATAGAAAGGCACTTGATCTAAAGGTGAAGTCTAATTACTGGCTCGTTGTTCTACTCGTCCTAACGTGTTTTTATTAACTAGACGTTTGAATTCTAACTAAACGACTGGTATTTGTGAAATACATTCACGTCTACCGTCATGTCGAGCGAAATTGTGCTTGTTTTTGCTTCTTAGCGATTTTTCCGTATGTTATGGTAGACTTTCTAGATAAACCGCATGGTAAACTGGAAATCAGACTGCTGTCATCGGATCTAAAATAAGGAATAAAATATGCAACGACCGGAATGCATCTATGCTAGCGGTAATCAATCTTCGTTCCGAAGCAGCGATCAAACGTGCCGGCCACGTACGTGCAATCTTTGGCGATTGTTGGCTGCGTTAGTCGGTTATTAGTAGTCATGCGCCTCGCCGTCTTTAGAAGGCGTCAAAATCAGCACGCGCTTTGATACCAGGATTAGAAAGCTAGCACAC